GGACTTCCGATCCTTTTTCTACTACCTTTGATCTGATCTTCTGTAGATCGTTTCATCCCTTTTTTCTCGCATGTTTCCCACAGTGGTGGGTTGTTGAAAGCAACAAACTAATCCCGGATAGGGGTTCATGTAAATTGGGTCTGGTACTCTGGTTGTAAACTCTTTTTTCATGTTTGCAGTGGTACCAAATTCTTTCCATTGTGTTGTTGGATTGGATGTTCAAAGTTTGCTATATTTTTTGATAACCTAAACCTGACCTGTAACTCTCCACAACTTTGTCACTGACCTGTTGGGAGAGCTCCTCGACTGTTATGTTGCTTGCTTAGTGGTGTTGAAGACTTAGGCCCGGTTCACACCTGGGCGTTTTGTAGCGCGTTCCTACGCTCTGCAAAACGCTCAAACACCGAAATCCCATTATTCCCTAGGAGTATGGTTCACACCTGGGCGTATTACAGGCCGTATGAACGCACTACAAAACGCCCTACGCCCAAAGAAGTACAGGAGCTTCTTTGGGGCATATTTGCCGCGCGTATCCATTGGGATACAGCCAGGTAGCCCTCGGAAATGCGTTTGTCGTGCGGTTTTTTAACTGCGAATCGCGTTAAAAACGTGCAGCACGAAACACGCATATTCGATACGCCTAGGTGTGAACCCAGCCTTAAGGGCCTTTCACAGCTTGTGTATTTATACTGACATCATGTTACTCTTTTGTTGCACACAGGTGGGGCTTCTGGTCCAGCCGACAACTTATTTAGGGGTTTCAAATTAAATTAAATTCTTAAGTGTGAATACTTATGCACACTCAAGATGTATTTATTTTTTTCCTGATTTATTGTGTAACAATAGAAGTGTTGTACCTATAAAGTGATAGCCAAGTTGCATACATCACATGGACAGTCCGGTCCAGCCAATAGGCACCCAGACACAAGACACTCCGTTCCGACACAGGCACTTTCCATTTTCTGATAGATGTGGCTGCTGTGGTCCCCGGCGAGCGTCATCTTGGGCCGCTGCATGTCCCTGAAACCGGATCTTCCTCTGAGCTGCGGGCAGCCTGTCCCTGTTTACAGGCGCCCGCAGCTCAGGGGAAGATCCGGTTTTAGGCAGATGCAGCTGACAGAGGTCGCTGGGGACCTTGGCAGCCGCATCTGTCATTGCCTCCTCCTCCCAGAAACCGTCCTGCCCGCCTGTGGACCCCTGGTGAGACACTGTAGCCCAGCCAGCTCACCGGAGAGGCGCACAGCCCACCTGAGATAATACAAAATCGCCTGCACTGCATAGAGCGTACAGACCTTAAGTAAGAGGTTGGTGCTTGAAGTGACAACACGCATGGCGCCGTGTCAGATACAGTCCATAATAGAAGTCACCAGCACTCGATGATATGTGCAAGAAGTAAAGCACTTTTTATTCAATCGTCACATGCGTCATGCAGCCAACGTTTCGGGGCCACGCAGGGTCCCTTCTTCTGGGTGACATACACGTTGGCTGTATGACGCATGTGACGATTGAATAAAAAGTGCTTTACTTCTTGCACATATCATCGAGTGCTGGTGACTTCTATTATGGACAGCCCACCTGAGAGTCGCATAGCCACCTGAAAGGCGCACAGTACACCTGAGGGGCGCAAAGCCCACCTTAGAGCCGCACAGCCCATCTGAGAGCCCACACAGGCCACCTGGAGATATCAGGAAGCCAACCCAGAACAACACAGAGTTGGAAGACACTTTCCAAAGTGAAGATCAGGAAAACACAGCAAAACTTTAAAAATAAAACTTTATTGGAATAGTTTCCTTGTCAGTATTTCACAGACGTAACATCAGTAGCGGTATACAATACTTATGCTGCAGCAACAGACTCACACAGAGTTTATCAAGCCTACAAGATGAGATTTTGCGACTTAAAGCCGATCAACTTCCTGTCTGACACCTGCCACAGGGACAGGAAGTGATGAAAAGTCTTCCCCATGGGGACACAGGCAGCAAGCTGTCAGAGGATTTTATTGCTGTCTGCCAGTTAGGGAGATTTCCCCTCATTTCCTTTTCAGACTCCCGGCACGCAGACAGGAAGTGAGAAGAGATCTTCCAAATGGGGTCACAGAGAGCAATAAAAATGTGACACATTCTATCCCTAACTTTTGGCTGGAGTTTAGCTTTACCAATTTAATAAGATCACAGTGTGACTAGCAATAGTGAAGCAAACCAATACACTGAGACTAATGAGTCCTGAAGAGCTGGGGTTAGAGGAGCTCCTAGTAATAGCCATGCAGTGACTCGTATAACCCTCCACTTCAGTTTAATGAGCCATTGATTGGGTATTGCACCATATTAATCAGACTTATTAGCAGCAATAATGCAGATCAAGGCATATGAATAAAGCAAAACAAACGACAAACGCACTCAACAATTTGTTTCCAGTTATACAGTAAGGTGCACACGAAATGGGCTTTGAACAGTGGTACAGTAGAAAGTTATCATGGCACACTCACACCCAGCATGTAAAACAACTTGTCTCACCACTAAGGACAATGACAGAGGTTTGGATACACGTCTTCTGCAAAGGATGTGTAAGCCGCACTGCCACGCCAAGGCACCTCTTATAGTGCGGTCCTAACTCTAAACTATGAGAGTCTCCATCTTGGAGCACATGGGGCAGAAGATATCAAATTGGGTGCAGGCCTGTCAGGAGGACGCCCCACCTCCTTAAAGGTACAGAAACACACAAGGGATCCCGCACATCCCATTGGCAGCTGAGAAACCCCATGCGTCGCTGCACCAAATCGGTAAAGCAAAACAAACGACAAACGCACTCAACAATTTGGTTACCAGTTATACAGTAAGGTGCACACGAAATGGGCTTTGAACAGTAGCACCCCTCCTCCACGGCTTAAGCAGGGGAAAGATAGCCGGGTGTTCACCGGCAGGAGTGTGTCCTCGCTCCAACCAAACACGTATATAGTAAAGGAAGAATCCAGCCACACTCTGTTCCACGCTCTATCAGTTTATTGAACATTTGTCCTGCCCGAGGTCCGCCCCCTCTGACATGTTTCACCCAATACATTTCACCAATCATAGAGATGACAGCTCAGGATTGGATAAAACATGTCAGAGGGGCGGACCTCAGGCAGGACTCAGTATCACTGACACATTTTCAATAAACCGATTCAATGTAGACCGGACTGTGGCCGGATTCTTCCTTTAGTAATAATGCGGACATATAATAACCTATAAGGACAATGTATATATATTTTACTGGAGCAGGATCTTCCTTTGTCAGACTTTCTACATTTTATGCTCCTATTATACAAGAATAGAAAACGTTTCAGGATTTGATGCATCAGCGGATGACATTTCTCTCCACAAAGAATAATTAGGAAATACAGCAATTAAATGAACTCCATAGGCGTCAGAAGAGGACAGCAATGTGCGCAGCAGACTGAGATCTCCCTGGGTTTCTATACAGAAGGATCCAAAGCAAAAATCTCTCCTTTGGGTTAGAAAGGAAGAGAAATCCAGGCAAGCCGTGGTAATGCATTGCCCCTCAGATTAAGGGAACGGGCCCGATACCATCAATGATCAAAGAACTCTGTCTAGCTCTATTTATATCTAAAAGGTCGGATTCACACCGATATGCATGTATTGTAATAGGCATTGATATGCAGTGTGCATGTCACACCTAAGGGGCCCATTCACACCTAAGGGGCCCCAACGTGTATCCACACAGTACACAATTCACCTGACCCACAGCACACCACAAAGCATAAAACACGTGTGGTGTTGTAGGTTAGTTACGTCTTTTGGTGCGAGCACAGGTTGAGATTCCGTAAGACAATATTTATTTAGTAACAGTCACTACTTTTTAATTAGTGTATAGTTCTTCTTATATAGATTTATTCCATAATTCATATTGTACATATTTATATATATATAACCAGTATTTGATATTGATCAGAGAGGGTTCAGTGGGCACAGGCAATAAGGCATCTCATATAGGAGATGTTTACAGTGATTGGGTGACCGGTACCCTTTAAAAAGGACATTATTTTCCCATATAAAGGCAGCAATGATGCATTATTTCTACTGGGGTTCTATAAAAAATATGATTGCATAACACTGAACAGTTCACAGCAATCTGACAATCGCAGGTTCATTGTTTTCTCTGATTTAAGTGACTAGACAACTAAAGTTTTAACTACAAAGAAAAAAAGAATCAAATTAAAACCTCCAAACAAGTTGAATTTCTTTTTTTGGATCTTGTATAGATGGCCTCTTCCTATACACCGTCCTTAGCTCAGGGCTCGACGACTGTTAATAGCAATGTCATAGGACCAGGTGACAGAACACTGGCCTGGGTAAGCTGTAATATATGTCTCACCAGAGGAGAACCTGATGTTACAATCCAAGACCAACCAATGGGGAAGGCGGTGTTTAGGCCTCATTCACACAGCTAAGAGCCGGCATGTACAGCTCCGTGCTGCGTGCACGGGCGTATCGGGCCGCTCCCGGGAAGGACAGGTGCTGCGTGTGATTGTACGCAGCAGCCTGCTCTTCTGTATGGGAGTATGCGGCCGTACACTCACCCGAACTGCACGTCCGTGCGTGTGTATATGCTCAGACGCAGACGGGATCCATCATGTCGGACGGACGTGCAGCTCGGGTGAGTGTACAGCGGCGTAAGGCCGCATACTCCCATAGAGAAGAGCAGGCTGCTGCGTACAATCACACGCAGCACCTGTCCTTCCCGGGAGCGGCCCGATACGCCCGTGCACGCCGCACAGATCTGTACAGGCCGGCTCTTAGCAGTGTGAATGGACCTTAGGGGGAGGGAGTCCGGGGGGGATTTTTGGAATGAAATCTGAGACTTTCAGAAAAGCGAATATAAGGAAAAGGAATAATGTTCGTTGTACAGCTGTGCAAGACTAGGTCATTATGTGCAGACAAAGTACATTTCTTGTATTAAATGGCAAAGTATCACAAAGTAAAAGCTGAATCGTTCCTGTGTCTCTATGCTTCTAGTTCCAGAAACTGAAGATATTGTGTTCGAGCCTTCAAATCATCTGCAGGGCGGTTATACGGGGTCCAGACCGGGTCTCCAACAAACAGTCTCATTGCTTTCACGTAATTCTATATAGAAACAAAGACAGTTAGTGGAGGGCACAGAAATTCACAAGCAACCATATGTTACATACACAGAGGCTCAGCGGTTAGCACTATATAAAGAGGCTCAGTGGTTAGCACTATATACAGAGGCTCAGTGGTTAGCACTATATACAGAGGCTCAGTGGTTAGCACTATATACAGAGGCTCAGTGGTTAGCACTGTATACAGAGGCTTAGTGGTTAGCACTGTATACAGAGGCTCAGTGGTTAGTACTATATACAGAGGCCCAGTGGTAAGCACTATATACAGAGGCTTAGTGGTTCGTACTATATACAGAGGCTCAGCAGTTAGCACTATATACAGGAGGCTCAGCGGTTAAGTAGGGATGCACAGATACTTGGCATTTTCATGAGAACTACCGGGGTTGCAGCTGGGACCGGGCTCTGGCGCTCCACCACTGTCCTGAAATCATTAGTCTATTGTTTTAGAAAAACTGTCACATGACAATAAACAAAAATGTATCAGTACTTGTACTTGTAAGTACTCGGCAAAACTGGTATCTGTGCATCCCTTTATTTATATTTATAAAAACAAAATTGTACATTAAAACAGAGATGTACAAATCCCAGGAGCTCCGTGTGCTCCTTGCACATGACAGATGCCTCCTAACTTTTGAATTTTTCTCTAGTCTAGTCTTGGAGCTCAAAAGTATCTGTACTTGTACCGAGTACTGTACTTGGTATCTGTGCAACCCTAGCGGTTAGCACTGTATACAGAGGCTCAGCGGTCAGTGCACTATACACAGAGACTCAGTGGTTAGGTTAGCACTATACACAGAGGCTCAGTAGTTAGCACTTTATACCGAGGCTCAGTGGTTAGCATCATATACAAAGGCTCAGTGGTCAGTGCACTATACACAGAGGCTCAGTGGTTAGGTCAGCACTATACACAGAGGCTTAGTGGTCAGTACTATAAACAGAGGCTCAGTGGTTATGACCACTAGATGGAGCTGAGGAGCATCAGATATAAATACTTCTTTCCTATGCTCCTCGGCTCCATATATTGGCCAGAATGTGGTATTTACAGAGTATATATTTGCTTTCCAAGTCAAATGTATTAATATTAACAATTGTTTTTTCCTCCATTCACACAGAACAAACGTTCACAGAGTATCGCAGGACAAATGGCTCTGCACATTATTTATAAATACACCCCTAAGTATTCATTAAAATCATTAAATAGCTGAATCAAAACACTGCATTAGCATTGCTGTAACTTATTTTACAATGTGTGCCTATGCCCAGTCCATCTATGTAGCTGCTGTGGCTCTAAGTGTCCATTACTCTGTTATTTGGAGTGGACTGCAGGCCGGCCTCCTTCCTACTGACTATGGTCCTTGGCTTTGGAGGGAGGTTCCATTAATTTGAAGAGGGGCTTGTCATGGTGCCTTTGGCTGCATGGGACCTTTTATTTATGCTCCATGGATCAGGAGGACCCCAGAGACCTATTTTCAAGTTATGTGGGGATACATGGGGAGCTGAGACCGTTTCTCTATACATCGGTATCCTGCCCTGGACCAGACTGTAAACTAGTATTGGGAGACCCCTTTGGTTCCTCGGTGTATAAGCCCCCTGTTCCCATTATAAGTCCAGGGTGTGAATCCAGCAGCACTGAAGGGGTTAACTCTGTCCCTGGTTTTCTGACATCTGCTATTTTTGGTATTTTCCATTGTAATTAGGTTTAGGTGATAAATCCTCACTTTGTTTTATCACCCCAGACCCGGCAGGTTATGCCCCCAATATACAATAAACAATGGAGTTGGGCATGTCACCATATAAGCCAACCAGTTTCCAAAAGGGTCATGGTTCCAGCATGCCGTAGTCCTTAATCATTGGCTGTCTGACATCAGAAGATCATTGGCTGTCTGACATCAGAAGATCAAATCTATCAGCCATTTCTACACAGTAGGGATGCACCCATACCAAGTATTTGGGCGAGTACTCATACTCACCCAATTGCTCAGATACTTTCACCGATACCGGATCTTCCAGTTAGAGGGAGCATTTCCTATGACCGGCAGTGCAGTGAGGGAACATGAAGCCAGCTTCCCAGCCAATCAGCATCGAGCAGCCAAACAGCATGGAGCCGGCTTCCCGACCACTCAAGAAGCCGGGGGGTGGGTCATTATCCGTCGCCCGGCTTCCTGATTGGCTATTCTTCTGTTGTATACTGAGACTATTTTATACTATTTGTCAGTCATTGTTCTCAAATAAGTTCTCAATCTAATGTTCCCACAACAGCTTTTCAGATAAATACAATCCGTATGTTTTGGGAGGAAATCCATACAAACACAAGTAGAAGATGCAACCGCAAGTGGATGGTAGTAGGGAATAAAGGCAGGACTGCACACCACTGAGCCAGCTTGTCGCCAACATCCATTTTTTTCTACCTAAACAAGCAGGTTTATTAGTAAGCAATAATACAATAACTTAGGATGGATTGATCGAGTAAAAAGATAAGGGCGTCTTTAAATGGTCAGTCCACGGAGGCTTTGCAATATCTAGGGATTAAAGGAGAACTATGAGGTGAGTGCTTTTCACAAGCTTAGGGTAACGGGAGGACGCTAGTTTGTGTGGTGGTTAAGTAGATGTTGGGCTATTTGGTCGGGGATGGAGCTACTCTTTTCGGACTCTTAAGCTGTTCTGCTTCTTTTAGTATCCATTTCCTTTTCCTCTTTTTGTCTGTTTTTCCTTTCTTTATGCTCGCACACGTGAGCTGTTTAGTACATTGATGTTGGGCAGAAAGTCTTCTACTTATATAGATATGGAGGAGATCATAACAAATGTTTGCTTCAGACATAGGTGGATCCCTATGCCAGATATTCCTCTCAGACTGTTTTGATTTTGTTTTTGCTGATGGGGGATATATTTGGCAAGAATAGGTGGATAGATATGTTCTGTTTTACAGAACTATTATATATGGTGTGTATGGCATCTAGTGATCCCCCCTACTACTTGACTATGCTAATGTGGAAGAATCTGAAATGCAATTGTATGCTATACTGATTGTGCATCATGTGCTATTTTATTGTTTTATTGTACTTTGGAAAATTAATAAAATACTTTGAAAGATAAATGGTCAGTCCATCCAAAATCATATTTCTGTATTTGATAGGTAACAGAAGAGCTGGCCCACCAGCCAGTTCCTTATATCCCACAGTGACTCCAGTGATGAGATCCCTTCACCTAAGTTTTTGGGTCATGACGAGGGGCTCCTGCTTTTCCGGTTTCACATATATTTTACATCATGCGTAATGCAACAACAAAAAAGAACATCTCAAACATCTAGCTGGGCAAGCCTGGAATTATGATAGGTAGAACTTACCCCCAAGCCAGCAGATAACCCAGCCAATCAGACTCCACATATCTTTTTACTTTTTTGTGGACTATGTTGTAAAAAAGGTCTCTGTATCCCCCAGGCCCTCTGCAGTCACTTTAACAATGGATGTGTATACCAAAAATATATTGAAGGTCTGATTTACACTGCACAGTCAACCGGGGTATGCCCAATTTTACCGTTCTCTGACCCTCACAGTGTGCTTTGAGATTGGGAGATGATAATGGCCATCCCTGTCTATAACTCAGTGCATGGGCCAAATTTCAAAGCGGGCTGAGAATCAGAACAATGTGCCAATCCTGGGTAACGTATATTGAACGCCACACACACACACACACACACACACACACACATCTTCTTTATATGAAGCTCTATTGTCAAAAAAGTTGTAGAGGGTGGGGAGGACCTCTATCAAAGTGTCAAAGTGTTTGTCAAACCAAGACCTTTTTTTGGGGGGGAAGGGGGGGGGGGTTGAAATGGGAAAGGATTAGAACTTCTTCCAAATGACTGCAATCCATGATTCTTTTACAAAGATTTCCCTTCACTTCCTGTCGACAATGTGTTACCAGACAGGAAGTGATGGAAACTCTCCGAAAGCAACACAGAAACAAACATGCTTTTCTTATGTCTGCCTATGTCCCTGCTGCAGATTTTCCCTCACTTGCTGTCTGGTGAAATTGTTGTCAGGAGGACAGGAAGTGAAGGGAAACCTCTTCAACAGAGTCCTGGGATAGCAGTAAAAACCAGACAGGGGTTTCCGATCTTTCCCCAATCTGGCTAGACATATACGCTACAAATGATCTTCTCCTTTAACTATTATTACATGAAAGTGACACAACTCTACCCACGTTTTCATCCAGTGTAAAGCGGTGGTAGATGCCGGCAGGAAGAGTGATCATGTCTCCTTTCTGCATGGCTATTCTGATCCATCGGTCCTGCTTGTCTCTTACATCAAAGTAACCTCTTCCCTCCAGGATGTAGCGGATCTCATCATCCAAGTGCAAGTGTTCCTCGTAGAATATCTTCAACTAATGGAAGAAGAAGAGATGGTTTGAGGTTGTTCTGTCATCGTTAATCCCGTAATGGACTACAATCTCAGGTTTAGTTTACTCGTTTGTATTGATTGCAGACCATGACAGGAGTGAGCTTGGAGCGGTGACTACTTTACAACACACACAGGGACCATTGGGAACATAAGTAGCCCCCCTCCAGAAGGAAGGACAGTGTCAGCACCAATTTAGGGATGATTGGAGGATCTACAGCCGAGTGATACACAAATAAGGTCCAGTATTGGTAACACTTAGGGTACTTGAATGCATTTGTAAGATTTAAAGTGGACGTTTACCCCCTTTCACTAAAAATCACATCAGCATGCGGCTCTTCATGCTGATATGAAATCATCGTACATTCTTTAGTTAAATAAACATATTTTTCTTTTAGTTACAATGATTGTTTTTCCAATTCCTGGTCCTCTTGGGTATTAGTGATGTAATGTGCCCAAGCGTTGCATCCTGGGAAGGTTACATCAGCAGAGCATTGCTGGGAAATCTCATCTGTAATCTCACGAGATCTCAGGGAAAGGCATTTTCCTCCCCTGAGATGATGTGCATGGTCACATGTCCTAGTCACATGTGCCAGAGTTCCAGGAAAGTACTGTAAAGGGAGAGCTAGTAATCTGCCCTTAGTAAACATGGCCACTGCCAGAAGACTGGGGAAGAAAAGAGAGATAAAGTATGCAAAGAATAAAAAGCCGGCAATTATCTAGGTGTTTGTAGATTGTCATTACTAAACTTTTCTAAACGTGTATTTGTTGAAATTTCAAAGATATAAGTTCCACTTTAATCCCTGAGTTTAGTGTCACTTTAAGGAATGACAAAGTTATTGCCAAATTAATAGGCCAATAGCAGAAATGTAAAAATTACTCTGGCCCATAGGCGGCATACCGGGATGAAAGATGGAGTGGTTAAAGTAGGGTATCCCTAACCTCGGTGCTGCAAAGTCAATCCACCGCTCATCTATAGCTCTGCAGGTTAATTAGTTGACACAACAGCACCTGACCAGTGTCAGAAAAATGACTACTGAATATTGTTATGATACAGTATATTAACTGTATACAGTTACACAACTGTGACAGCGGTTCTTTAGG